CTTCCTAGAAAAAAAATGCCTCAGGTTTATGACAGAGTTTGAGGCAAAGCTTGTTTACATAGCTGTAGCTTGCAGTATACCAGAAGCAGTATACCTTGTACACCAGAAAAGTTTGATGCTTCTGATAGCCCAGGGCTAGCAAGCACGTTATGGAAACAGAGGTACCACTGTGGAAAGGGCCTCGCTATTTAAGTCTGAGGAAAAAAAATTTGGGTGTATCAATTAATCCCTGCTACGAAGGCTCAGTGAAACAAACGAGGTTGTATTTACAGAGAAAAAAAATCAGATCACATTGTAACTCTACAAAGGGCAAAATAAATCAGCACAGCAAATCACATCATGAAAAATGCAGAAGAGGACCTATGGCCTATAGGTCCCACGTATACCAAAAGCATTAAATTATGATCAAGTCAAACAATTCATCCATTATTTGCTAGAATTTTAAGGTTTTCAGCTTGAGTTCCACCTAAAATAAAAGGCTACAGAGGTTGTATATTCTATAGTTACTGACCCTAAATCATCCTGAAAAATGCTGGTTGAAGTTAGTCCCGTAAATGAAAGATTGGATGTAGGTGGATCCTGCTGCTGACCAGTTATGACACTCACTTCTCCTCCAGCTACAACCTAGGAACAGAGTTCATAAACCAATAAAATGAGAATGCTGACACTAAAATAATACGTTGTAGCAGCCTAAAAAATAGTATTCAGATAATATTCCAAATGTCACTGAAGATTTTTTACCTGCAACTCAACAGTGCCTGAAGCACTTTTTAAGAGACTAACAGCTTGGGAGTGAGTCATGCCCTCAGTAGATGTTCCACAGATGCTAACAATCCTGTCCCCAACCTGCAGAAGAAAACATAGAAAAATCTAACTAACAATAAGTTTAGTTACACAGATTTATTTGTCACTTTCTTTCAACATCAGCAGATCTGGGTATTTGCATTTAGCCAGATTTTATCAGTGATATAGGGCAGGAAGAAAGAAATTAGCAACTGTTCACGGTATGTTTTCTCTCAAAGGAATATCATCTTTGAACTACATAATGACCCAATAAGAAGGTAAAAAATTCAACATCACAATTAGCAAATTACACTAGTTTACTGTATTCAGCATAAAAAAAGTAAGGATGCTTTACAAAATTGATCCTAACACTCTAGAAATGCACAGCATATAAAAAAAGAGATGCATTTTGCATGTCATCTCAAGACAGACTGAAGTAGTAAATTATCATCAGAGATTTTATGTTTTAATTGAGATTATATGTTTTAATTCATCCTGAAATAACACTGTCCATCTTCCAAGGAGCACGATTCAAATTCAGCCACCTTTGGTACAGATTGGATACAGTACGCATGTAAGTACTATATCAGATAAAACCTCCCACTTTAACTCAGAACATTAAAAGTACTATCTCTATCCTAAGACAGATAAGCATAGAAAACATGAGAGATAGAACAGACTGGATACATACAGTTGCAGGAATGGCCACCACGCTCATCAGTGGAGCTCACTTACAGAATCTATCATTCTGAACAACTTTCTCTGCTTTTAATTTTCACAAGCTGACTACCTCTATGATCCAAGATTGCTTGAGGACTTCCTTCCCAAAGTTAGTATCTTTCAGCATTACCTTCTACCATCCTACCAATCTGAGTTTCTGTTTTGTCAATCCAAACAGCAAAAATTCTTGTCATAACCAGAAGCACTTATGACTGTATCATTAAACCGCTAGTTTATTGCCTGCCTAGAATAATTATTGTGTCTTACCCATGCAATCTTTACAACCTTCTTAACAATTAACTTACTCTGAGTTTCTGAGTCTGAGCTGCAACTCCATTGGGATGCATCATAGCAATAAATATGGGAACATCTCCAAGAGGACTTCCTACACCTCCAGCAATGCTCACTCCTAGTGAATCTGCAGGTCCCTGTTTTGTAATGAAAAAAGGTTAGATTTTTCTAGAAAGAAAACCACATACAGAGGATTGCAGGCTTATCTCAAAAAAATATTAAAGCCTCTATTTTATGAGAATCACTATTCCTATGTCCCAAGCCATTTTTTAAGCTAATATACTTTGCATCATTTTGAGAAAGAGCAGAAAGCACAATATATGTTTCTTCTTACCAGTGGTAGGTGACAATTTGCTGATCTAGTTGCATGTTTTATCCTAACCAAATTAAGTCCTTACAGAATTCAGCATCAGACCCTTAATGTCAGCATAGAAAGTCTGAGCAAGGAAAACCGGACAGATGGGATTGCTTGTCCTTAATACTGTCTGCATCAATCTCCTATTATAAACCTGCCGAACACTAGAATTATCTTTATGCTCCCCCTAGTGTCCTATTGTTGAAGAACAAAACTAGCTGTTCACTGTTGTACAACACCCTACTACTACCTGACTGTAAAAACTGCTATTGTAAACTGCAATTTATTTGCAAGATTCCACTGTAAAAGGAGAATGGCTAAATACAATCCATGTAATCAAGTGAACTAGATGCCAGGCAAAGTCAAATAAATATAAATATTTTGGACAATCAGAAGCAGTCTACGACTCAGATCTTATGTTCCTGTAAATAAGGAAGTCTACTAAATTTCACAGTTGAAAACCTGGCAGCTGTTGTGTAAGAGCCTATCCATTAAACATATGTGTGAAGAAAAATATGAAATACCAAACAACGGGCTTGCAACTTAGTTCCCTTGACTTCACTAAAATGGAGTCTGGATTTAACTCAGTCTAGTAACAGTAAAACTAGGTCCCAGTATCTTACTGATCCTTCCTCCTTTTGTTTTCAAAACAGGTCACAAAATATGACAGAATAAACTGCACTGATTTTACACAACAACACAGGCAGCAGAGATCAGATAGACTTGACCTGAAAAGACAGGCTATGGCCTATCAATAGACTGCTATCAAAAAGACAGCTATGGCCATGTCAATTCCTCTCCCAATATGACTACCAGGGCCAGACTTCTTCCCTTCTGTAAACACACCTATTGACATATAATCTACAAAACCTGTTCCTGATATATACCACTTCACATTGTAGCTTACCTTTTTTATTTCAACTGTTCTTAGTCCCTGTATTTCAGAAGCTGCTGTCAAAAGAATTTAAAAAAAGAAAAGTTAAACTAGCAGTTTTAGGAAATTTTTCCATTAAAGTTATCTAAACCACTATGACGATTCTATCTTTCTGCTGGTTTATTACAGACATGTTTTAAACTGATTTTGAAAGTGTCTGTCATTAAATTAATAGGACTGAAATACTTCTAGAATGGGTGAAAAAGTCATTCATTCTCTCCACTTAAATAATTTTTAAATGGAGGACTGCTAAGCATGCTCAAATAGATCATAAAAAGCTATTATTTGCTAGTAATACTTTGGCCAGTAGTAACTTTGTTCTAAATTTGAGCACGAGACAGCTATTCCACATCTATTTAATTTAACTATACAGTATCTGGATTTCTATGCATGAGACAGCTTGACTGAAGACATATTTAGATTAAATAAAAAATTATGGCTACACAGATTCTAAGTATCCAAACTGCTGGTGTAACAGGCTGCTAGTTTAATTTCTAAAAAGCTATTCAAAGATACATATGATATACTGTACAGTAACCAACTCTGCAGTGTTTTAATGACTAAGGAATCACTTTCAGGCCTACAGCACATAATGACAACATTTTAGAGAAAGTGGAAGATCTCAGCTACCAGTTCACATTTATAAAATACTGAAAGCATCAAAGAAACCTTACTGGTATTCTTCTTTAGACCACTTTCAATGACCTCAGGTGCACTGGACCCAGAAACCGGGACACTGAATGATGAGAGACTGCCACTTCCTTCACTGACCTAAATACAGTGTTAGACTGGGATTAGAGAGCAGCTTCAGACACCCAACTGATAAAAGTAAAACTGTAACCCGCTGTATTCAGTGTATTTTGTTGTATTTTGCTTTGTCTGTGCCCAGTTAAAGCTGACACAGTGAATCTCCACATACTTCTTGGTCACCCTAGAGGGCTCCTTCCTTGAAACATTGTTAGACCAACAGAAACCGCATGTCTACAACCCCATGCAACGCTTTGAAGCACTACTTCTGAGGGCCAGACTGTGTCCTTCTATTTGTACCTTCTATCACCTCATAGAGATCTTCGGGTGCAAATGTTAGCCATGATTATCAAGGTAGTGACGGAATACAGAAGACAGATCTTTATACACCCTCATGTGTACTCTCACGTTCACCTACTGTACCAGCTAAAACTACTATTAGGCTCTCCACTCGCCTTCACCTGCACAATTTCCAGAAAGATTTTCACTATACCCGCAGGGCAATGTAAAACAACATGGCTCCCAGTGAGACTCGTTCACTGACTGTAATAGACTCTTCAAAACATTCAACACTGTGAGATTCTCTTACTTAACAACTTAGATTAAGGCCTGCATGTCTTCATCTCGTTTGGCATTACCCATTTTGAAGAGACCCTAACATTTCAGTCTTATCCAGTCTTAGCCTGTTCATTTGAAACTGTTTAATTATAGTTTGTCTTAAAACTATTTATTTTCAGTACTTGATGATCTGCACAACCAGTTTATAACCAGAGAAACTTCTAAGGTAACTTCTAAGCTCCTACTGGAGTGAATCACGATGTGAGCTGCTACCACATAAAGGATGTATTCAAATGCAGAAACAGTTACAAGTCTGTAACACTCCACCATTATATCAATAGTAGAATAAAAAGAACTTGAGAGAAGTCTGATGGAAAGGGTGCAGGTTTCTTGCTTCTTATGACCAAGATTATGGTAAGAATATGCAAGGAGTGGAGAAATTCACTAAGTTTACTGGAACAATACCCCATTGCATGCTAAGTACTCCTAAAGTAACAAAGAGGTTTAAAGTCTAAGAAGAATTCTAAGTTCTTCTGGTATCGATGAGAATCAGAGTGCTCTCTGCTTCCCAGGGTCGAGCCATAAAAACAAGACTAGGCAACATAGCAAAGCCACTTCTGGAATACATTTTTGGCTGTATCATGTCTTTGACAGATACAATATGCTAAAGTGAACATATAAAATGGGCACTAAAAAGCTGCAAAGTAGATAAAAACTACTTTTTTTCATCTTGGATCAGGTATGTGGAAAACCATTGTCATCATAAAAGCAATTCTTTTTATTTGCTTTCATTATTTAACCATTATTTTTTCCAAACTAAACAGTTTTACAGTTACACACCTGGCTGCTCTGGGATGTCCTCCTCTCGGAGTGGAATGGACCAGTTTTTATTCTTCCGACCTCTAGTCTTACTGTACCTAATGAACACTAAAGAACCAGTCACTTACAATGCATCTCTTCTGTCTACAACATTAAAGCGTATGACAATATTTACGTCACTTTAATATTAGATGGTGGAAGAAGAAAAAAATATGGACAGAGGGGAAAATAATGGGCTAACACCCCTCCAATGAGCACTGAGCAGACAGAGCTCATGGCAGGATCAGAGCCACACTAACTAAGTACACCATGATATTCAGTACTGAGCAGGGTACTTTTTGGATTAACCAGTATTACAATACAGATGTGAAAATCACACAAGAAGAATAATTCTGTGACCTTTCACTTAACTGGGAGTAATCCTGGCTTTTCAATGGTAACGTCAACGTATATTTTCAAGATGGCATTTTTCAAGGAATAGTGAAATTGACTATTTTCACAATAAGCACTAAAAATAGCATAACACCTCAAAGTATTAAGCATTATTTCTGTTGATATGAATGAGTACATGGTATTCAAACTGGTAGTTAGTCATCTCTCTCCCGCTCTTGAAATTATCTGTTACTCTGGATTTGTACCAACACAACATGAAATTTTGGTCAGGAGATTTTCCAAACATCTATCTGTAGTTTAAGTGACCTTTCTGCATCTGATTCCTAACAGGAAGCTGGGCGATATGGACTGTTTGTATATTGGAAAATTTCCACAACTCCTCAAGCTTTTAATTATACTATTCAGTATTTACATGTGTGCATAAAATGCGTGTGTTAGAAGAAAACTCCCCCTGCAATTAAGTATTTAGAAACCAAGACATTAGGCTGATGTTGGAAACAGGTAAGTTATTATCACAAACAACATTTAGAAAACTGGACTTCTCATATAATACAAGTAGTGTCAAAAGAAGACCACCTGTCTGCAACACATTCAGATACAGAATGTGTTTGTCAGAAAATTCACAGTAAGAAATAGACCAATGTATCAAAAACAACAACAGGACATATCCATTCAAATAGGGTTTCCATACCTCATATCCTGTTGTTATTCTGCTAGGGGTGACGAGATTATTACTAAATTGATTTTTATTTTTTAAATAAAGTTGACTTTTCTATGTCCTGGGAAAGATTTGATCAAAGTTCAGGCAAAACCATTCTTTCCTGCTTGTATGAATCAACTCGTATTAAACCATACAGACAACTCTTATCCAATATGTAAAACTGATGAAGTAATCCATGTACCTAAAATTACAACACACTCACATAAAATGTAAACCCACAAATGAGATTTAAAAGTTATAATCCGTGAAAGTGGGAGGTAATACTTTCCAACTGAACTTGTGAATAAATCAATTCACATTTAATTTTATTACAGCTTTCTCCCTCTTCCTGAAATCTCCCACTTGATAAATCTGTAAGTCAAATGAGGGGAAAAAATTATCAGCTTTCCACATGTTTTAGGGATACTTAAAAAGAAACACTGCAAGAACAGGCGGAATCCTCAGCCTGATGACACATTCTAATGGTCTCATGCTACTTAAAATACATTGGGATTTTCCAAAGATTATAAGTAATTTTCTAGCAAAATACATTTCAAGCAGTTCAAGGAAATTCAGTCCTAGATCTTACTCTCATGAATGAAAACAGAACTGAAACCTGAACTAAAAATGGTGACTGCCTACATGTGACTGATCATGCTTTACTCCATTTATACTGCATGAACAAAACAGAATCGTTAACAGTAATATATCTGAGGTATTTTAAAAGCCTCATTTCTCACGGCCATGACAATAAATTGTAAGTACTATGAGTGGGATGAAGTACTTAGAACATGAATATATGAATGGTAAGTGGGAACTAAGAATCTTCAATTAGATATTCCAAAATGCTTGCCAAAATGAAAGAAACTTTCCACATAAAATGGCATTTTAATTTAGAGAGCATGTAAAAGTGCAGTATATGAAGAAGAAATGCACTGTTCTTAGGTAAAATAAAGTATCAGGTAAGAATGGAAAAGTACTATTAGCCCAGAAGAGTACATTAAGGAGTTCACTGTCAGAACACAGACCCAGTTCTGGCATTCTCACTTATGGGCACATGATGAAAATACAGAAAAAAGGCTCCTACCTCCCTTTTCTAACGCCTGCCCCTCCTTCCCTCTCAAAAAAACCCAACCAAAAAGTAAGCTCCAGGAATTGTTGAAGACCTGGAAGAATATACCTTTGAATGCGAATGCAAAGAAGCATGAATGTGTGTCTATGTATTTAAGAGTCAGCTATGAGTAGTGGCTGGTTAAATTTTTTTAGTGGGAGGAATTTTCCCTCGGAATACTTCTCCCC